TGGCCCCTCATGCCACTCAACGCACACGATTCTATCAAGAGTCTGTTTGTGAGGAGGATGATGCCATCCTTACGAAGGCTACTGCGGTAGTACTCATGCGTGGTTTTGAGCTTTGTCAGTGCGCAAGTACGTGGCCGTCCATCGGTCANTCCCAACTTTCGTAAGAACTCACACCACTGGGTAGCTGGTACCTGGTGCTCTTCTGTCGGGAAAGCGCTGAGCCCAAGACCAAAGGGGTGGGTATGGTGGCCCCTCATGCCACTCAACGCACACGATTCTATCAAGAGTCTGTTCGTGAGGTGGATTATGCCATCCTTACGAAGGCTACTGCGGTAGACTCATGCGTGGTTTTGAGCTTTGTCACTGCGCAAGTACGTGGCCGTCCATCGGTCATTTGGATCTTCAGGTTTTCTCCGGTAATGGTATCGTTGGCAAGTTGTCACGCGTTCCGTGCTGTCATGTGTTCCGANGGAAAGCGCTGAGCCCAAGACCAAAGGGGTGGGTATGGTGGCCCCTCATGCCACTCAACGCACACGATTCTATCAAGAGTCTGTTCGTGAGGTGGATTATGCCATCCTTACGAAGGCTACTGCGGTAGACTCATGCGTGGTTTTGAGCTTTGTCACTGCGCAAGTACGTGGCCGTCCATCGGTCATTTGGATCTTCAGGTTTTCTCCGGTAGTGGTATCGTTGGCAAGTTGTCACGCGTTCCGTACTGTCATGTGTTCCGAGTTCCGAATGTGTCTTGCGACTGCTGTTGCTTGCGTGCCTCGGTGTTTGTGATGCACCCTCGTGCCCACTCTCTTCCGCTGCTTGTGTCTACGAGGACGACCAATAAAAAGACATTAATATCTCTTCACATTGTCAACCGAGACAGCCGTGCTTATCCAGCAGCACTCGGCTTGGGGCCAATCAACAGAGTCTCGTTGTCACGTGTACGAATGTGTACATGTCTCGCAAATTTTTCGCCCGCCACAAAAAATAGCAGTCTAGACAAACAAATACCCATGGATGGTATACGCGACGACGAGGAGCACGCACCTCTTCTCTGTGCTGCTCCACAGCTCCTGCTGCAGCACCAGAGCCTTTCTGTTGGGTTCGGCGCGATTTGTCCCGAGCCTTCAGGACGACATCTCCTGACCATTCGACAAGCGCGTCGCTCTCGTCCTCAGCACCCACCAGCTTCTTGAACCCAGCCGTGACAAGGCTCGCGGTCAACCTCAGGGCGCCCCAAGCAAGCGGGATAAACGGCTCAAGGCCTGACATGACCAGAGTGAGCAAAAGCTGGCCGGTGCACGGCAGAGGGAGATGGTGGCCGTGAGATAGCCGCAGCAGGTGCGGATACATGTTACCATCCGTGCGAAGGGATCTTCACTGTGAAATTTACTATCTCCTCATTGGTTGGAGATGCGCGTGCGCGCGCTTCCTCGGTGAACCTCTTTTTGGTTCTGTTCATGAAGTTTCCCGGGGTGGGGAAACCCCGGCTCTGTGCTACATTCTCGCTACATTTCCTACCCTTCTCCGCACAGCGCACAAGGTGCGCGTGCTGTGAAGGACGGACAGGGCGGCCGTGCTACCTTATCGACACGTAGCCTCTAGAGGGAAGCATTGCAAAGCGTGGCTCCCACCGTTGGCCACTAGAGCAGCGGTCAGTCGTTATGCAGGGAGGTGAGCGGCATGCTGCCGAGCACGCGCTCTGCTGGCGGCGTGCGTGATGACGTTGATCATGATGCAGGCGCGGATGACTGCGTGGATGGTGCGACTGGTCGCCAGCACAAGCCGGTGTCGCACCCCTTGCCCGCAGCCCCATGCGCGACACTCGAGAGAATTTCATCTCCTTGTAGAAAAACCACCGACAGCGACCTCCTCCGGTAGGGAGCCGTTGGGCCATTCCCGTCTGTCGGCCGGCGGCGCACCTGGCGGTGTAGCCTCCGTCGTGAACACCTTGCCTTGCGACACGCCTCCGGCTATCGGAGCGACTCGCGGAAGTGTGAGTGAACGTGAATAACCACCAGGGAAACGCCACGCGTTGCAAAGCCCATCATCCCGGGGGAGTTTGGGACGAGATGCAAGAAATTCATGCGAGGGCTTCGGGGCCGGTGAACGTCGCGGCCGGGTGCCGCACTCGTTCCTTGCTACAGCTGTGCAGATGTCCCAAGCATCGGAGGCCTTGGGGAAGCTAGAGGAGCTATCAGGTGATGGTTCGAATTCGCGGAACCACATACGCCCCTTTCATCTGACATTGGGGTACCTGCGGGACCGGGATACTGCTCCACCGGTACGTACGGGCCGAGTGCACCGCTGCTACATCTGGAGGCAGAGGGAGGAGCGCAGCTAAACTAAGAAGGCCCATGCCAACTTGGAGCAATGTTGCCACCACGGCAGCGCCCAGCCAAGGCAGTGCTGTGGCGATCGCAGCAGCAGCAGCACCAGCAGCAACAGCAGCAACAACAACAGCAACAGCTGCAGCAGCAGCAGCAGCAACAGCAGCAGCAGCAGCAGCAACAGCTGCAGCAGCAGCAGCAGCAACATTGCTTTGGGGGGGCATGGCTGCCGCCGCCGCCGCCACCGCCGCGGCTATTGATGGCGCAGCAGGGTGCAGCTGGCGGGGCGGTGTTACAGCCGCAGCAGGTTGGACGAGTACGTCAGCCACTCCCGCCGCTGTCGCTGCCTGTGCAGCAGAGGATGGCAGGTGGCACCGTTGGTGACGCCCTGACCGGCCATGGTTTACATCTGGTTTTGCAGCATGGCGCACCGGACGGCTCAGGGACAGGCGGTCATGAGGAGGAAGACGAGGGGGGGCAGGGGGAGGCAAAGGACGCCTCCAGCGGAAGCCCGTCCCTGTCATCGTGCCTGCTAATGCTACGTTGGTGAAGCGCAGCTGGTGCTGTTCGAAAAGCAAGACAGTTTCTTCGATTTGTCGTGGGTGTCTCAAACGATGGCATTGCCACGTCGACTATGGGCTGATCGACCTCGCCAAGGATCGCTTCATTTGCTGCTTCTGCGATATCAAGACGAAGTCGGCATGTCTGTGTCACGCGAGAGTACCCAATGTCGTTTCCGCTGTTCAGTTTCTTTGCTCAATTGCAATTCTCTTTAATCATGTGACCAAGAGTGATGTGCCAGATCGAGTTCTCGGATGCTTCTCGCGCACGTGCCTTTCGCCCGATTCGATGCCACCCATATGGTTATTTTGAGAGAAATATGCAAGAATATCTTGACTTCCACAGCGCTCTCGCTGCGTGGTAGGCTGTAACCTGTTTTCACCTAGTTGCTGTGGGAATGTTGCTGGTGATCCATATCGACTCCAACTTTTCTGGTTGCTTGACCATCAGTGTTTGTTTGGGCTACGCCCTCTCGCAGTGCGACCAAAACCGAAGCGTCCACAATACGACCTGCTCTCAGCGTGCGTGCCGTACGTATACTCATTCCCCCCCGTCTATTTTTCTCACCATCACATGCTTCGTACTCATACAGGTGCAAGAAGAACAAAGCTGACAAGCGAGCGGCATCCCAACGAGCTCAAGCCGGCCACATCCACGGGAGTAGCGTGTCCCGAGTGGTTCGCCGCCAGACTCGAGCCAGCGCTTTCAAGCTCCGTCTGCCTCTCACGATCGCGGCGGGCAACTCTGCCTCTCACGATCGCGGCGGGCAACTCTAGAGATAGAGAAAAGGCACTGTTTTCGGTCTACACCACCGCCCGCGGCGACCGCGTCATGGTCATCACCGACGTCATCGCCGAGCAACCTGGTGCGCCTGCAAGCTGCATCGTGAAGTGCTGCGATAACCGATGCCGCAAGTGAGTCGATGTGTGTAGTTGTTGGGGGATGTCACGAAACAACAGTGCTTGTGTGGTGCTCGATACTCCTTTTCACCGGTAAATCCCCGATCGAAACTACACGTTTTTGTTGCAATCCAACGCTTTTATAACTTATTTGGAAAAGAAAAGGCATTTGCAGGGCACAGATAGGGGCCCGACCCGTTTGCATTCTAATTTATTTTCGCTAGTTGCTGCTTGCTAAATTTATCCGAGATAAGTCGGCATGTTTTTTTTTTCTGGCGACGCTCTGTCACTTTCATGGTTGCTTTCGTATGGTTTTGCAGTATGCAAACGGAACCCGAGCACGCGCCAAACGCCGAGCAGGTTGCAGCGGGCCAATGTGAGCACGCTGACGTCATTCTCGGAGATGGGACCACTCCGAAGGCGGATAATCCTGAAGCAGAGCCGGTTATCTTTGGCAAGGATGGAGAAGAGATCGAAAGCGTAGGGGATGCAGCGATAACCCAGATGGTTTTGACTCAGGGTAGCTTTGACGTCATGCTAAGGATGGCAGCGACTGTAGAGGAGCACGGGGTGCCGCTGTTGATGCGCTCAGGCGAGACTCAGACGTATGTTGTGTATCATCCGGGCTATCGGTCTATTCCTTGCAGCTGGGCACACGTCGAGACGGATTTCCCGCAACCACCTGGGTCGAAGAGAGCGCCATCAACGAAAGGCGGACCACTCTAAGGAAGCAGATCCAGTGCAAGGTGATAGTCTACTACTGCCGATGCGTGACTAATTTTTATTTGGAGCTCTATAGAGTATTGACTGCACGTAGAGCGCTTCTGCGGTGTATGCTTTCCCACCCCAACCTTGACATTCGTTGTGCAAACCACGCCCGCAATATTGGTGCCTACGTTCTCTAGCTCGGATGGTAAGGATGGTGGTATACCTGACGTACAGCTTTCCCCCCTGAGGATAGCTGGCCGGAAAGGCAAAGTAGGAGCGGATGATGATACTTTCGGTGCTTTCAAAAGGTTGTGCATCATAGCACGTATCATTGACTGTTTTCACACAACAAACCTGTGTCCCACGAACTGTCCACCCCCTGGCGCCCGTCACTTGGCTATGATCATAGGCGAATGGGGGGACGGGGTGCACCTCGTTCAAGAAAGGCTCTAGCGGCAAATGCGTGCATACGCACATCGTGGGGTTGTGTGTAATGGGCAGCGATTGTTAAAGCAGCTCCCCCCTCAACTTAGACGGCGGGAGGGACGAAGATTCAGGCGATGAGGGCATCGGTTCAGGGGCGGCGGAGTACAATCGTAATGCACCGGGGTTAGTAGCAAAGGTAGAACAGCCGGTGAGGATGTTCGGCAGCATCAAATACCCGGCCCACATTCTTGCAGCCCTGTCGGAAGATGGAGAGCGTGGCAGGTTGGAGGCGGATGCCGAGACTGCGAGTCTCGAGGACGTATGCCCCAAGTGCGACGGGGAGTATGTCCACTTGAAGACTGTGCGGGTCACAGCGTTGGTCCCGGTGAGTTGGGTACTTGGTTCATTGCCGGCACCGCGCGTCGCATAGTAAACATGGCCCTTTTGGGTGCGGCTGCTTGGGCATGGGCATGTGGTGTGGCCCTGTGTCCGTGTACCACCTGCTAGATTTTTTGTGTTGGGGCATTGTGCCATCCACTGCAGTATCGCAAAGGCACCCAGGGTACATAGTTGGTCACGCCAGACCGTGAAGAAGGAAAGTCAAGAACCGCATGTTGTTGATGTGACTGCTGGTGCACGAGATACCTCCTCGAACATCGTACGTGGTAGGCACATGGAGTAAAGGTCACTAAAAATTCTTCATAGCGCAGACGAAGTGCACAATCGATGTATTCATGGTCCGCTCGACCTTTTTTGAGCTCCACAAGCAACGTCGGAAGGACTCACGTCATATTACAACTGGACAAGAATTGCGTCTGCACACAAAGCGCTTGAAAATATTGCGAACCTCCAAGAAAGCGTGAGAGCGCACGTTCATTCCAGTTGATCATTATCATTCTGACTTTGTTCCCGCGACATCATCATGTCAGGGGTCCGATCTCGCCGAGGCCGTACTTCTGATCAAGGGCTGTGTTGACTGCGGGGTGGAAGTCACCGGTGATGACTGGCAAAAGCACGACTATTTCGTTTTCGGGGAGACTCTACTCGTCCATTTGTCCCACATGGGCGCGACGAGGCGGGCGGTGCTCAGTGGTACGGCAAGCAGCCACGCATTCGACAATTTCCTCCGTCCTTCGACCGACAACCTGATATGGATGACCCGGAACAAGCTGACCAAGAGGTGACTGTGAAAATCATCATCATCCACTGTCTGTTGTTCTTTGCCTTCCGCTTGTAGCACGGCACGATCCAATGTGTCACGGGGGGATGTTAACTGGAAACTGCGAGGGAAACACCCGTTTTCCGGGAGCAGCTCCCCATGATCAGGCTAGGAAATAAATAAAAGTCCCTTCGACCTCCAACCCCGAAACACTTCTTGTCTATCTTAAATCAAACGCACGATCTTCAAACCGAATGCAGCAATTGGTGCAGGTGTGGCAATGCCTAGGCGGTAGGTCGTAGCCACTACTGTATTTATCCCCCACATTTTGACCTCAAATTCGAATGTAGGACAACCTAATTCCAGGTTTCCTCGGGGATCAACGCACGACATTGTTTCAACGAGTCGTCGAGCGTACTTTTCTCTCAGGCCTGTTGTTTCTAAGCCGTTCCCAGTGCATTTCGTGTCCCCCTCCCAGGGGACGTTGGATGAGGATACCGCAAAGCGCTGTGGGTATGCACGGAGGTGCGAGGGTTTTCCAAATCGTTTCGTTTGTTTTCGCGCCCCCGGCCCCACTGCATCTCTTCTCATTTTTTTGCGGCACCCCCGCGCCAAGTCAAACCAACGCGCGGTAGGACAGGACAACGAAGTCTTTGGGCGAATCTTAGGATAGGGACGAGGAGGGGTGGGGGGAATTCAGCTGAAACATGTTGGGTATATTGCTGTAGTATCTCGGTTGTTCTGCATCGTGCAACAAGGAGTTCGACCAGCTGGGTGGAGTGCAAATTCGTTTCAAAGAGGGTTGGTGAGCATCGTAGTGCATTGTTTGACTTACAGTACTTGTCATTTTTATTCGCACGGTACATGCGTGTAAGGCAGCATGTACCTCCGTGCCAGGAAAACAACACTATTTTGAGGGAAGCTAATGTGTGCCGGCAACATGCACATCGGCTGCGGCGTGTCGCAAGCGATTTTCCTCAAGAATGACACGCTGGGGGTGGCACGGTCAACCATCGTGCGATCGTCCTTGAAAGGTGTTCATGTCCTACTTTTATGGCAGTACCGAAATAAATACCACAATGGAAAATGCAAATAGATCACTTGGATTTGTTTTTCGCATCAAGGTGCGGACTGGTTCCCTGGGCGTTGGTAATGCGCGGTGCAGCATGGACGTGTTGATACGTAGGTTCAGTTGTTTCACGTCCACTACAAACCTCCAAACTTATCCATCACACATCTCAGGAAAAATTCCGGGGATGACGAAAGAGCATGCGCAACTATGTGGGAATCGCGCATTTATGGCCCAGTGCAAGGGACATGCTTGCTTTTTTTCAAACCAAGTAGGGTGTGTTTGCATTGAGCGAAGAGCATTTGCACCGCCATGAGGACCGATCACTCTCACACTAGTTGTTCTGTCGGTGTCGTGCACACTGCCCTCCTTGCACCCCCCCCACCCTCAGGTACCCCAACACGGTGCTGCTGATTGAGCTGTTCAAGAAGGTGGGGAGAGCAACCATGGAAAAGATAATTGCTCAAAGTTCTTCATGGAACGGGGGGCATAGTTGGTCTCGTCTCGGGTGGAGGGGGGAAACAGCCCGGACGGAGTCCAGACGTGCCATATGTCAATGCTTCGGGCGGCAAGCCCCACAGACTTGGCCATGTTGCACCACATGGTGAGTGCTCCCTTGTAGAGAGTTACATTTTTCGTCACTGTCTTTCGTATACATACATCTCAACTGCGCGTATCCTCGACTCTTGAAAACAATTAAGGCCGATCGAAAGCACTCAAAGGATGATGAACAGGCTGTGATTAACGAAGGTGGGCACATTTTGCATTGGTATGGATCGAATGTGTCGTGTTCAAACAGGGCAGCTGTAAATACGACAAATGCCGATTAGGGAATCTAGCAGGTCGTCTAGGCGGATGGGACAACATGGTTGTTTGCGCCATGTCTGTATGCTGCGATGTTCACGCATCTCCTACATCCATCCCCTACATTGAAACACACCGTAGGGCACCACCACGCCAACGCCGAAATACTCACCATTGACTGTTTGCTTGTCCACCAGTAGATGGGCAGAACAAGCACGAACCGAACTCCGGGTATGTCAAGATATTTTTCACGCCTTGTGTTTCTTGGTGCCCTTGCGTACATGGTGAACGAAAAACGTACAAACGAATAGCATTGAAGAAATAGTTTAACATTTAACTCCAACCAATCGTCCCTTTCGGGGGAGAGGTTGGGTGCTATCGCAAGTGGATCCCGGGGTACACCCCGAGCTGCAACGTTTGTGCGTTGCTCGCGGCATACCATCTGGGCTTCACGGCTGTGTTCTTCAAGATTTTTTTTCCTAAAAGTGCGCGTGTATTTGTGTGTGCGCTTTTTTTTTCTTGCAGAGACTGCGCTAATCGGCTGCTCAATGCGCTTGTTACATTTGGAAGGAAAGCTCGCAAGTTCGTCATCGTTCACCAAAACAGCTATTTTAGCAGAAGTTGGCGCTGTGATGTTGTTCAGTATCGGACATGTCGGATATCGCAGATGTACCTTAAAACCGCCAGTGCCGCCGATGCTTTTTCAGTATCACACGTATCGAAGCCATCTAACATGAACAGCAACGAAACGCTCGCAACAGCCGAGGGCAGCGTTCCGTGGTCACAAGCCAACTACCCACAGAGGGGTACATCTTTCTAGAACGAAACCAACGTAATATTGGACCAAGAAAAAATCCTCCAAATGCGGAAATAGCGTAGCACAAACAAAACATGTGTTGTTTCTTCTGCGGAATCTCAGTACATGCCATTTCGGTATACTTTACCAGCTGTGTCTACAACAGGTGCGTGGAACAATATCCCGAACACGAACCCCCTTTGATTTCTTCACAGAGCGGCTGCAACTGTTTTTTCATCCAACCTTTCGTGTCAAAAGCTATCTCACGCGCGAAAGCTCGAGCTCACGGCATGCTTACCTTAGAGTCGGGCTTTCCACATAGGCCACCGCTGCCCCCCGATTGCCCCCAAGCCGCCAAGCTAGAAATGCACAAGGCACAGATGGTCACAACGCCCTGTACATGCACGTGAAGCATAGTCTCTGTGTGAGGCTTTGGTGCACATTTAAAATGACGTAGAGCGTTTCCAGGAAATTATGTTTCCTTATTTGTTGTAAACACTACTTCAATAGATTGAACTCTTTTTCCCCACGCGCGCTTGGATGCCCGGAGTGCGCATGTGTTGTACCCCAGCCAGAGAGGAACAAAAAGATAGAACATCACCGACGCGCTACTTCTAAGACCACTCACAGCATGCACGACCAAAGCAGTAGTACCATCAATTGTCAAGCTGTCCGTAGGATAGGATATAAATAATCTCTTGTCGACTCCGATTCCGATGCTCGCACAAGTATTTGGTGCGAGAACAACGGTCGCGTGCACAGTCCTGTGTCGCACAAGAATTTTTATCTCTGAAATCTAGCGTTGTTAGAAATCCCCAAAAATCAAGTCGGAATCACAACTGTCTGCATGCGTGACACTCGCGTACATATGCCATTCTCGAAGGGAGGCATGGAATTGACACACCTCTCCGGAAAAGGTGGCAATTTTTATTCGTGTTGTCTCGCATGTTCCTCCGTTGAGCATGAACACTTGTTGGCAAGTACACAAACGACGTCGACGACCTCAGGGTTTTCTACACAACACAACATGTGTGTGACCCTCATCTCGAAAGCCTTCCTACATAATACAGTGAATGGTCGCGGGGTGTGCAACATGTTGAAGACCGCAACCAAGATGGCAGCCTGTGTTCAGTGTATCACTGGGATATTCCTCTCAAATTCGCTTGTGAAGTGTCTGTTGGAATACGTCGGGCGAAAACACGACAGTAGAAGCCAACGAAACTTTGTCAACTTCCCACGCTCGACCTTCACCCGTGCTTTCATGTCCCCCGCGTCCCCCCATCGATAATGCAGCACATGCCTATTCTCGTCATCACGTACATCATGTGTCGTGTAGGACCGATCGTCCACGGCCTTTGCCAGACGGCGGCGCCGAACAAGGGGAGTTATACCCCGGGTTGGCGAGCCTGATGAGCATGACATGCGGAAGGTAGACATCCCGGCACTTGCGCCTGTGGGAAATTACTTTCTTGGCGCCGATCAGGTTCCGGAGCCTTTACCGCAGGAGAAGTGCACCCAGAGCAATGTGTACGATCTCCTGCGCGATGCGCAACCTTCTCCTCCGGTTCAACGGTTGGACTTCGGTCAGCTTCTCAGCGTTTCAGCATGGCAGGATAGAGAAGAAGGGACCACCGGACCACCGCCGTGGCCTTCGTGCTGCTTGCTCGGGCCCGTTTGCGGCACCTGCGCCGCCAAAGCCACCACTCCATGGACCTCTGAGGTAGTGGCTGCTCTAAACATGCGCCTCACCAAGCTCGTGGCTTTCATCAGCGAAGGAAGACAAGGATGTCCCACCAGCAGTACTTGTCTAGGAAGAGCAGGTGGCCCCGGGCTCGGTGCTGCCGACGTTATGGGTTCAGAGCGTGCTCTCTGCACGAGTTCTCGCGGTGGTGACTGGATCCACCACCGGCAAGGCTCCGGAACTCCCTGCCTTCTATCAGCATCTTTGCGAACCTGTGGCTGGCCAGAATGACCTTCGACCTGCGGCGTTCGACCACCTGGTTTTGGCCTACGCCCGGGTGAGGATGTCTCCTTTGCGCAGCTCATGTAGTGGGCTGTTGTTCTTTGTTTCTAGCAGTATTCTCAATACTCGTGGTTGGTCGTTGCTCTGTTGGCCAAGTGGATTTATTTTCGTGTGCCATTGTCGTTTTGTGTACGCGTTCCTCATTGGCCATCGTTCTCCCTCCTTTTCTTTGTTTTTCCGCCTAACGTTCCTTCCGTCTTCTCTGCGTCGCCGGTTGATTCGATTTATGCTCGCGGCAAAACCTGCCTTGTTTAGCGTTTTGTTGTTATTCAATTCGAAGCAGTGCACATTGGTAGATCACTGCCGACATATCGACTTCAACAACAACGCTAGAGTGGCTAGAGCAGGGAACAAGTACATCTTTTCTCGCATGCTGGTAAGGACATCCGCATGCTCTGTCCCCACCGCTAAAGCTACCACACCTCTTCCATCCAGCGCATGCACTTCGTTGCATATTATTAGGCTATATGTAGTGCTCGAAGCTCTTGAGTTGCTGCCATGTCAACAAGACTACCCAGCAATGCTGTTTTATGTCTGATACTTGTACAGAGTTTCCTGTTTGCATTAAAGCATGCCCATTGCGGTAACCCAACTGTTTCGACAACTATTTCGACCACACGATTTGTTTTCCGTCCCCTTCTTCGGGACCCCTGACATGTTGATCAGGCCAAGGAAGAGTTCATCACGAGTGGACTTCAACCCGCCAACGAGTGCGCAAGGAAGAAGGCAGGTACGATGAACTGGACACTTGCATGCGTTAGGTGTTGTTGGTATAATAACCTAAGGACCACCAATCTACCGGGCAGTGTACGTTTCCATATTGCGTCAAGGTTGGTGCCGGTATCAGGCCGGTATAGTACATGTCGTTCGTTACCTCCAGGCCGGCTAAAACGATCAAACCTCAGTCAAAACGCTTCATGAGCTAACACATGGCATGCCGTCTATTTCTATCTATGTCATCTCTGTTCGTCCTCACAGAACTGGCTGTGCGCTCAGGAACGCTTCGGGTGGGCGGTCCAGCGTACGAAAGCCCTTCAGATTCAGGTGGCTCAGCGTCAACCGAGGAAAAACGCTGACATCAATGGCATCGTGGAAGAGTATGGCCTTCCGTTCGATATCCAACCGCTGCAGGAGGACCCCACGGCGATAGTGCGCAGAACGCACGCCTTGAGGAGCAATGCCGGGCCTTACTACGGACCAGACACCCTGCACGACTGCAACCACGGGGATGACAGCCGCCAAAAGTACGGTGGGATAGACTCATGCGCCCAGCTGTCGGGGGTCAACCTCAACGCGTACGAGCAGAACCATGCGAAAAAGAAAAAGTTCCTGCGCACGTTGAATGTCATGAAATTTGACCGCTTTGCGTTCATGGTAACTCTGATCAACGAGACCAAGAATGAGGCAATAAACCGCGAGTCGGTGGCAAACACGGTCAAGCGTGTTCGAGGCCATGGCTCGGAGCGAGTAGAGATTTGCCAGGCTGAGGTTTGGTTCTGGGGCAGATGCTTCTGCCAGGAGTCTCTCGTGCGATCATTCGACCAGTTCAGCCGGGTCCGGCCGACCTTTTTGTTCATTCATAGCCATACTTTTTGGCGGGGTCGGATGTTGTTGTACGATGTCTCGGATGCTTGTGGTACGGTGTTCGCTTCAGCTGACCCGCTGGCGCCATTCCGTCACTTCGCCCTGGTCGCAGCGGTGGGTAGAGTTCTTTTGTTTTTCCTTGTCTTTGGTTTGATGGGGTGTCGATGGCTGGTTGTAGGAATATGTAGCTGCGCGTTTTGGGGGGATAGATACACTTGGTTTTTCGTTTGGGGGATCCATGGGTTTCGCTACACTATAGGGTTGCTTTAAGAACTATTTCCGAGCCCACCGACGTTCCGTTTGTCAGCCCTTGACAGCACTTCCAGTACTGTGGACTGCTCGCTGTTTTTTTTGTGTTTCCAAAAGCGCGATGTATCCTTTGCCTTCGAGCCTTGGCTTGAAAATTGCGTATCCAAGGACAACCAGACCTGCTCCCGAATGTCAAAGGGCGAATTGTGAAAGAACCGTTTTTGATCCTGTATCGAAAACAGGGTTGGTTGGCAGACCTATCTACCATTGTGTTGAGCTCATTGCGTTCCATCCGGATGAGGGTAGAAAATATTTTTTGTTGTGTCCACGAAAGTTGTCTGGTGCCCAATTGCCGACTTTGCAATAATCTTCAGGTTGCGTTTTGGGATTTAATACCATTTCGTCCTGGACTTGTGGTACGTACATGCTGTTTCGGATACCGTAGTACTCGGAGAGATGGCACCAGGTGCGATCGTTTTTGAAAATATTATTTCCTTTTTTTTTTCGCACCCCGGTGCCATGTCTCCGACCCCGGTGCGGGAATGTAATTTTATCGTGTATGTCACATCGTTCAAGGCACCCCGGTGCGACCTCTCCGACCGGTGCGATCCCCGATGAAAAACACACAGGTGTTGTATACTGGTTAGAAGCACACCGGTAACGGCAACGTAGGCTGGTACGTAACAGCTTTCCATGCAGCGAGTGGACTTGTGTTTGATGCGAGTTTGGCTATGGCGTGACGACAACAAACGATCTCGTTTCCATCTGTGGCCGGTGCACACGGTATCAGCTGTCTCCCGCTTTTGTTTCGGTGTTCCTCTACGGATACCGGTACGTACGTAGCAACAATAGCAGTTTCGTGTTGTGTAAGGTGAGGTAGGGTGCGGCTTGTACGTTGTGTGCTTGGTTGAGCATACGGTTGGCAACTTCCGTACCAATTGAAATATGAAAACAACTGGCATCCCGCGTGAACCGCGACCATGCATGCGTACAACCAGGAGTGGCGCTCCGCTGACACCGTCCCCACATGTATAAGGTACACACGCTCCTCATTCCGGCAGCTGAAAAGGAATTCAATGTTGGATTTGGGGGTCGGTGAGACCGCACCGGTGCGATTTCACCGACCCCGGTGCGTAAATGGATGTGAATCGTGCCGTTCTTGTATTTTTTTGGCACCCCGGTACCATCTCCTCGACCGGTGCCACCTCTCCGACCGGTGCTGTCTCTCCGAATTTCCGGTATGAAAATTTACGCTATGTTCGTTCCTTTTCCGCCCACCCCTTCAAAACAAGCTGTCGGCGCGACTATTTCGGCTCTTCTCTCCCCTCCTGCAACTCCCCCTTCAACCAACTTGAAGTAGAGGTACACAGTCTACAAGTTGCATACGTGAGACGACTCGCTCGAACCTGGTTAATAACATCTCCTCAATAAACACACCTTGCGCAAAAACTTCGGGGTTTTCTCGATACTAGTTCGACATGGGAAGCTGTTGAATAATAATATTATCTGCCATTTGCAACCTACATATTGGGCAGCAGATCATCTGCGATGTGTGCCCGTAAATGCAGCAGTAGCCTACCCGCCTGGACTGTACCGTAGGTGACACAAGATACCATACCCCCTGGACCGATTTTCAAAGATCGATTACCCCACGACGAAGAGAATGCGTGCATGAAACGACTGTTCCAGAAGGCTCTCGACAAGACAGCTTCAACGCCGCCGTTTCCGGCGCTGCCACTCTTCTGCTGTGGAGAAATCGAGTTTGGAAAATCGGTCCGGGGTGTGTGACATCTTCCGTCACATGCAGTACCTATAATACAACTGCTGTGTTGATGGCACCTTATAGGTCGAGCCTGAATCGGACATGGGTAGGCTTTTGACGCCCTGAAGGGTGATTTTGGGGGATTGGGGGAGACATTCTTCTTCAGGCGTCGTATTGTCTGTTGTGCCTGGTTGGACCTTGGAAAACTATCAATCTCGATGCAGATGGCAGCAGCAGATCTGGCCGTTGCGGGGCAATCGGTTGTTTTTTTCGTGTACAGCACAGACAGCGGTCCCAGTCGTCTCGAAGCTGTGCAAAGTAGGCCAAGACCTACAGCACCTGGATTCAGCTAGATATTCCACTCGCTCTTCGTACAGCAGCAGTACACGCCGTACCCAACGGCCGGCAGCCCGGTAGCGCGCACATATAAATCGGTGTCAGCACGTCGGCACCCCCTGCCCTAGACTATATGCTGATCGCTTCGGTACTAATTTTCCTATCTAGCAGCATTATTTTCCTCCCCTACACAATGAGTCCCCTGTGCGCGCAGGAACATACCACAGAACATCCGAGCAGGCGGGCTCTGCAAGCCTGCACAGCTCGGGGCTCAGTCGGCAAGCTACAGCAGTAGCGATCTAGTGAGTACCTCCAAACCGTCAAGAACCGCGTGCGCGCGCGCCCAAAAAGCACGGCATGCTTCCGAACCTTCTGGAAACCCTACCCCCGAACCCCCTAAAGATCCTTTCGCACGATCCGTAATCCGACCTCGTGGGTGTGTGTCTGCCCCCCTCGCCCCCTCACCTGCTTTCTCCCTTCTCCCTACGCCGTACCCAACGGCCGGCAGCCCGGTAGCGCGCACATATAAATCGGTGTCAGCACGTCAGCACCCCCTGCCCTAGACTACTGCTGTATGCTGATCGCTTCGGTACTAATTTTCCTATCTAGCAGCATTATTTTCCTCCCCTACACAATGAGTCCCCTGTGCGCGCAGGA